AGCCGGCCAGCGCGCAGCCGCGGGCGCCGGGGCTTTCCAGGGGCCTGGCCGGCCGCTCGGTCCCAGTACGGGGTGTGCGGAGCCGGGGCGCAGAGGACCTGCACCTCGCCCCTGCACGGCCCAGCTCCCGCCGATGTAGTCGCGGCTCTGGCTGTATTTGTGGGCGCCTGGGACCCGGCGAGTCTTGGACTTGGCGATCGCGATGCCCACCTGCTGGCTCTTCCCCTCCCCGTGGCTTTGCTGAGCCCTCACAATGAGGTCCTCAGCCACCTCTGGTCAGGCTGTTGGGCCGATTTGAGAAGTCCTGTTTCTCCCTTTGGGGGGTCTCCGAGCTCGAGAGCCCTGGAGCTTTCTGCCACGTCACTGAACTCTTCCCAGCCTCTTGGAAAGGGAAGGACGGTGTGCGTCTGGTCACTATGGCGGTGTGGAGGTCAAGGCTGGGGGTAAAGGTGGCCCCAAAGCCTGGAAACTTCTGCATCTGGAGGGCTCCTCGGGCCCGCACTTGCCTTGGGAGCCCTCTTTAATCTCTTAACTTCAGCCTGAGTCCTGAGGCCTTTAAAGTGGAACTACCAGGCCCCCCAGCCCACCTCGCACACCCACCCTGAGTGGGCATCAGGGACGCACCAGCCGTCGGGTGCTCAGCCGGCCCCGTGCCCAGATGCTGCCCGTCCTGGTCCAAGCAGGGCCGCTGGGAAGGTAGGGTCCGCGCGGGGGTGTTTGCTGTGGTGCGCCAGCTACTAGTAGGGTACACAGAAATCGCTAGAGAAGAGGAAGAGCAAGCAGTGGTGGGCTGGGCAGGTCCAAGGTCCCCTCCCTTGTCATGCAGTCATGGGGGAGGCCTGAGATCTGGCCAGGGGTTCTTCCCCAGGAACAGAGGGAAGTTTCTGAGAAAAACAAGGGTTTGGAATGCGAGCCCCCCCTCCCCTGCCGGCCGCCTGCCAAGAGGGAATTATTTTGGATTATCCAGCCGTGTCCAGCCACCCCAGAGGGGAGGAGAGGGGCGCCTGCGGCCGTGGGAGAGAGATCCACTTCCGGGCCGTGGGTTGAGAGCCCCAGGAGGGAGGGACAGACAAGTCTGGGCAGCTCCACACCTCCCGTGCTGCTCAGACCGGTTGGCAGCGGAGGGGGCGGGAGATGTGTCACCTTTGGGTTGGGGAGGGCTGGCCAGGCTGGCCTGGTAGGCCCTCCCTGGCCCTGAAGTCTCTGAGAGAAGCCAGGGAGGCACCGTGTGCTCTGGACCCAGTTTGGGGTCACCTCATACCCACCCTCGGGTCCAGGATCAGGGACACACCTGGGACCATCCCTTGCCTCGGGCAAGGGAGTGGGTCAGCTGGTTAGGCTCATCCCTGGGTCTCCAGGAGTTGAACCTCAGGCCCTCCTCTGCTCTCTGCTCTCTGACCACCCATGTACTGAACAACAGCCCAGGACTCGTCCAAGTGTACCTTACCCCAGGGGGGAGACTGAGGCCAGAGGAGGTCCCTGGGAAGTGCCATCTGGGTTGCTGCTGGGGTTATGTGGCTGCCCAGCTCCCTGTGAGGCCATGTGCCCAGCTGCCAGGGTGGAGACTGCACTGAGGAGTTGGAGCCTCAGCTGAGGCCAAGTACGGCGGGCCCAGGGGCTTGGCCCTGGCCCAGGCCAGTGGAGCAGAAGAGATTGGATTGGAAGGCTGGGTGGGCTGGCAGCCTGGGGAGGGGTGCATATGGCACCCCGTTAAGCCATTCTGGGAACATCACCATGTCCTGTCCTCTGCCTGGTACCCACATCCTGGGGGCTAGTGCCATTGGTCCCTCTGCAACAGTGGGCAGATGCAGGGGGCACTGGTGGAAGGGGCATCTGGCACCCTGTCTGGCTGGGTGAGACCTTGGAGGGCTGCCCTCGTGCCAGGGGGCAGTGCTCACTTCTGTTGCTTCCAGTGCCTCACTGTGCATTAGGCCTCCTGCGTTGTCCTTGTGTGGGCGGAAGCTTTTCTTCCTTCTGGCCTTCTTGGGCCCTAGGTCTGTCTTGCTGAGAGCTGTGGAGAAGAAGGTTGGCTGATCAGAACTCAAACCCCAGCCAGGCCTGGGAGGGCTGTGGGTGGCCTGTGGAGGGGGCTGAGCAGCCCTTTGTCACCCCTGCGGGGATTTCCCTTTGGGGAAATGGATCTGGGTTTGTAGGAGTAGGTGATTAGAATCGGGTGAGGGCCCACTCCCGGGAGTGGGGGGTGGTAATGGCTATTTGTGTTAAGGGTGGGGCTGAGGGTGGGACAGGGCTGGGTCTGACTAATTATAGGATGGGAAGAGTAAGTCTGTGCCCTTAATTGAGTGGGGGCACTGGAGTTCTGGAGGGTGGGGCTGGGGGCAGCAGGCCTTTGAGAAATCTTTCCAGACCAAGTGTGGTTGGTTCCTCTGCTCTCTTCCCCTCCTTGATTCTACTTCCCCTGGCACAGACCGCCACTTCCCACCCCTGGGGTGTGGGGACTCTGTCCTCCCCTCCTTCCCTACCTGTTTGCCCTGGGCTCCCCCCAGCCCTGGGCTCCCCTCAGCTCTCCGGATCTCTCCCTGTCCTCCCAGCCCAGCATTTGCAGGGCCGGCTGGGTCCCTGTGCCCTCCCTCCTGGGATCTTGGTTATTTTGCTGTATGTGACACTCATGGACTCTGGCCCCAGAGAGTCCAGAAAGCCAGGAACGGTGGAGCAGGCTGCTTCAGGTTAGTCCGCCCCCCAGTGACAGTGTCCCTGTTCAGGGCCCAAACTGGAACTGGGGAGGGGTCATTTCCTGCCCTTCGTTACTGTAGGCACACTTCTGGGTGCATTCCTTCACACACAGCCCTGAGCCTGGCCCTTCTCTACCTCTTCTTAGGAGGGTGTTGGCCTTCCCTAAGGTGCCTTGGGGACTGTTTGAGCTGCCTGGGAGTCCCATGGGCTGGGTGCTCAACCTGGACTGGAATGAGGGCATGGAGGGTGCAGAGCCAGCCTTGGTGCCCACATCCTCTTTTCCTCAGCCCTCTGAGATCTCTCTGGGTTTCTGAAAACAGCATTTCCCCATTCTGGTTCCAGCTGCGTCCTGGCACAGGGCCTGGAGCCCAAGAGGGGAGGCCCTGAGGTACAGGCTCAGCTCTGCCCCACCCTGCCCTCAGTCCAGCAGCCCTGCAGCCTAGCCTTGGACACTTCCTGTCTGGGTGCAGGGACATCACCTGGGCGGAGGTTGCCCTCAGCAAGAGGAAGAGGAAAACTCTGATGTCTGCCTTTCAGGAGGCCACCTGTGTCAACACAGCCCCCAGGGGCTTCTCCCTCAGCCGGAATGGCGCTGGCTGCCTGGCCCTGGGCAGGGCTCGGTCTCTTCCCAGGCGGCCCTCTCTAGTCTTCAGCCCTGGGCCAGCATCCACGTGGGTGGAACTGGTGCATGTGTGGGAGCTGTCTGACCCCCTGACCCCACACTGCCTGCTGAGGGCACAGGCAGTTTCTAGGGGCCCTGGAGGCCACAGCAGGATATGCTGCAGGCCGTGGGGGTAGCAGAAGTTCTGTGATTGGCACATGCCTACCTGAGACCCTTGAGCCCAGGCCAGTGCTGCAATCTGAGGCCAGACCAGCAGGATTGTGGCTCTGCTGGGGGTGGGGTTGTCATGTTGTGGCAAGATAGTGGGGCATGGTACCTAGACCCTTGCATGGGGCTAGGAGAGGTTCAAGGACCAGTGGGTGGCAGGGGCCCTATCATCCAAGCTCTCCACGTTTTCGTAGTTGGGGGGCTGCCACGGAGGAGAGGGTGAGGGACATGCTGAGCCCAGCTCTGTGCCCTCTGCCTAGAACATGGCAGCAGCCTGGGACAGAAGGGAAGAGGAACCCTGCCTGGGCCACTGTCTGCCCCAGGCTCACCCACCTGACCCCGGGGCCATCCTTTCCGGCCCAGCTAGTGGAGAAGCTATTTTGAGCTGAGCTGGGCAAGTTTGGGGGCTAGGGGGAGGGCGCGGCTCCAGCCTGGCCACCTACTCCCTCCTGGCCTTGACCCAGGGGGCTGTGCTGAGGGAACCTCAGGAGACAGAAAAGGGTGTCAGGACGAGGGAGAGGAAAGGCAAGGAGACCCAGGCGGCTCCCTGCCACGCCATGCTCCCTGGTGCAGCCCCTCCTCCCCCAGGGCTCGGATGCCCGTGGCCCCAGCCAGGTCCTTCTTGTCCAAGCCCCTTGGTGAACGGAGCAGGAGCTGAGCGGAGAAGCAGGCCGGGCGTCTCGTGGGTGTCCCGTGGAGCGGCCAGGTACCTGCCTGCTCCCGGCCCCCGCTCCGAGCTGAGTGTTTCCTCGCTGGGAAAGCTCAGGCTCTCTGCCCTCAGACCTGCCTAGCACCCAGAGGAGCACTCTGTGCCTGCTGGCTCCTGGCTCAGCCTGGACAGGAGATGCCGGGGCACTGCGCTCCCCCACCAGCCCAGCCTACCCACCTCTGCCTGCCCCTTGCCCTTGAGGCCAGTGGCCCTGCCCGCCTCTGCGGCACTCCGGGCAGCCTAGGCTGACCTAGCACTGACCCACCTGTGCAGTGCCTGGTCTGAGGATATTCCTCGGGCTTTGTGTTCTGAGGACAGATTCTGGGACAAGCCCCCTGCTGGCAGCGCTCCCTGTCCTAGTTGCAGACATGTGTGCCTGCACATGTGTGGTCACGTGTGTGGGGGCTGGCACCCAGGCTTGGCACGGTGCCCTGAGTTAATTGTAGGTTCCACTGGTATGGGGGAGGTGGGCCCCGGGTGACCGCTGTGGCGCTGACAGGCTGACGAGGAGATTACAGGCCTTGCTGGCTCCTCACTGGCTGGGGCCGAGGCGCGTCCACCCCCATGCCCACCTCACCCAATCCCCTCCTGCTCACCAAGTCCTAGAGGGGGCTCCGGGTGGGTTGGGTCTGGGCCAGCTGCAGCCTCCGGTAGGATTCAGCTGCCCCTGTGGTAGCATTCAGTCAGTACGTGGGCTCGGACCAGCCAGCTCTGGGGAGGCCTGGGAAAGGGGATTAGCAGGGAGGGGCAGGCTTCAGGGCCAGCTCAGGGGTAGGGCGGCAAGGGGCCTCCAGACCCCAGTTGGGAGTCCTCTGTGGCCAGCAGCTGTCTGAACTCTTTGTCCTTTTTGTTTAACCCATTGTCCCCTGGCGGTGGCAGTAGGACTGATTTGTGCCTTTCCTCATCTGGCCAAGTTTGGGGGTCCTCCAGGAGTGTGGTAAAGGGTGATAAACTGCAGAGCTTTGATTCTGGAGGTTTGCTGTGTGGGTTAGGACCACAGGGGGCAGCTGGGGGCGTGCAGCCATGTCCAGGCAGGACAGTGTGGTGCCTGGCATCTTGGAAGGGGTGGTAGCAGGGAGAGAGGTGGTTCTGCAGGCCTGGCGTGCTCTGAGAGGGAGTCCCAGCTGAAGAGCCCCACCTTCTGTCCCCACGCCTGGAGGATCTGTGGTCTGGGTGTGCAGGTTGGGGTCTGGCCTGCGGACAAGGGCCACACAGTCAGTGGGGGCACCCACATATACAGAGGCTGCCACTGGCCCAGAGGTGAGGGACAGGGCAGGCGCCCTTGGGTTCTGCCAGGTGAGCTGTGGGCACCTGTGGACCGAGGCTAGATGAAGGGATCCTAGATCCTGGGGGCCTCAGGTCTCAGAGGGAGGTGTTCTGGGAGTCTGGGGGCACATCAGAAGGTTGACAAGCTGGGGCTGGGGGACATCAGGAAGCAGGGATGACTCATGCTAGACCCACAGCCTAGACTTTGGGGGAGGTTGACGCAGGGTCCCCTGCGGAGCCAGGTCTGCTGAGGAAGGGGTAGCTGCACTCTCTCTACCTGGTGGGACCTCGCCCCAGTCCTGTGGGAGCTCTGCACTGACGCAAGCCCAGGCTGGGCTGTGTGTGTCCCTGAGCCACACCTGTGCTCCCTGGTCGGGTTGTGCCGGAAGAGCTCGGTCCTCGCCTGTGGAGTCTGGTGGGTGGTGCCCCAGCAGGGACCTGGAATCCCAGGTCTTTCAGAGGTGGGGGCGGGGTCGTGCCTGGTTGGCTGGCGGCTGGGATGACCTTAGTGGGGTGGAGCTGCCCTCCGCTCTGGGTAATGGCGGGGTCCTGTGCTCGCTGTGCCTGGCACCAGGTGAGAGTCCCCAAGGAAGCCTCCCTTGGGCACCTGACTGGCCGCTGTTGTCGTTGTTACCCAGGGTCAGGCTCCCACCTGCCTGTTGTCTGGTGAGCTGGCGCCAGGAGCCGGGGTCCACGTGTTCCCTCCCCGTGTGCACCCGTGGTGCTTTGGGGTGGTCAGATGGGGGCGGCTCCAGGGTTGCGGGGGAGGGCTGTCTGCCACCGCGTCTGCCTGGGCGGGGATGAGGCTGGGCCCTCAGGAGTGCTGCTCTCCGGCCTCCTTCAGGATGGTCTCAGCCGTCTGTCCAGGGCCACTGTCCCCTGCCAAGTGGGTATGGTGACTAGGCTCTTGCAGAGCCACAGCCCCTCCCTCATGCTTGTTTTGAAAACAGCGGAGGCTCAGATTTGCCTGAGCCCTAGCTGTTTTGTTTCTCCTGATTTGTTTAACGCTCCGGCTAATTGCAGATTTGCATGTTCCTCTCGGCCGAGGCCCCGCCTCCTGGCTGACAGCTGCAGGGGGGAGGGGTGTGCTGTGGCCACTTGAACCTCTGCTGCTGCAACCTGCCCAAGAGTGGTGGCACCCATCCTGCCCTGCAGAGCCCCCGCTTGAGTCCCCAGGCAGGCCCCGTGCCCTCTAGTCATGGACCCTGGACAGGCCCCACGGTGCTACTCCCACTACCACTTAGGGGGAGGGCAGTACCTGTGCTGGCTGGGCCTGACCACAGCAGGAGTCACCTTGTTTCTCTGTCTGCTGTGCCTGGACCCCCACCCGGGCTCTCCCTGGTTCCCCTCCTGTCCACAGCCTGCTGGCCTGGGCAGAGTAACCCTGACTGCTCTGCCGAGTTTGATTTGCATTAAGAAGTCACCCCATCTGTACTTGATTGAAGATGCAGGGAGACCCCCCCAGCTCTCCCCTGGAGCCTGCAGGAGGTGCCCTTGGACCCACCCTTGGCCCAAGGGGTCCATCTGGAGTGGGGACCCCCCTCCTCAGCCGCTGCTTGTCCACCTCTCTCTGGGCGATGGGCGCTCTTCTGGCTCCCACACGTCTAGGGGGTTCAGGCTGGGGAGCGGCACTCGCCGTCCAGTTGGAGTGGGGCCCGTGTGTTGTCAACTCCTCCGGGCATGCCCTGTGCAGACCTTGCCCACAGAGGGCTCCTGACTGTGATCACAGAGGATGAGTGGTAGTTCCATAGGACTGGTCAGGGAGGGCGCCTGGGACCCTGAGGAATGGTGTTCTTAAGCCCCCTTGACTGGGTGCCCTGACTATCCCCAAGCTACATACGGAGAAACTGGGATCCAGAGCAGCTTTGTAAATAGGCAAGGCCGTTGTAGATAGGTGTGGTCCAGCTAGAAAGCGGCAGGGCTGAGGTCTGAACCTGACAGCGTGGCTGCACAGGCCGGCCCTGGATGAGCCCTGCTGCCCTGGGGCCGCAGCCCCCTCCTGCCAGCCTCATCTGGGGTAGGGAGGGACCCTCTGAGGGCAGGAAGTGGAGCCTGGCACTAGGGGTGGGAGGGCAAGGCCAACTGTGAAGGGCAGGGGAGGTCCTAGTTTTGTTGTCAGGGAGGAGCAAGCCCTGGCCTTTCCCCCACAAGCACCAGGGAAGGGAAGGGATGAGGGACGGGGACGGGGTTGGCAGATGGCCAGCCACATCTGCCTCAGGTGAGAGTGGCTGGTGGGCCCTGCCTGGTCAGTGGACTACTCTTGGCAGGGCGTGGGCTCAGGTGAGGCTGTTTGCTCACAGCTGTGAAGGGCTGGGGTCTGTGTGCACCAGGTGCTGAGCCACCTCCTCCGCTGGTGACAGCCCGGAAGCCAGGTGGGTCCCTATGTTCTCACGGGGCTGCTTCTCCACAAGTCCTGATGCTGCCCTGCGGTTTGGCCGCTGTGTTTGAGAGGAGCAGTCTGCAAGCTTCTTTCACAGAGGCTGTGTTGAGTGTTGGGGCCCAAGGACACCCTGTGCCTGCAGCCCCTTGGCTGGGTTAACTCTTCTCCATTCCCCGAGGCACTGAAGAGGCTGCAAAAGCTGTGTGATGCCCACCCTCTGCCCAGCTCGCCCGTGCTGGTCTCCTTGGACTTACTGTGGGTGCGGCTTGGGTCCTGCTCTGAGGGGTGGGGAGAGAGTGCACAGGGCCTGGCAGGGCTCCCCATGCCACAGCCTCCCCCACAGCTCTGTGGGTCAACGCGCAGTTTTCCGGGGCTCTTCTGGTGACACTGGGGATTGCCGGTTTGTCCCTGCAGCTGCTATACTTCACACTGAGAAGCACCTCTGGTCTGTGAGGCCTTGTGGACAGAAATGGAAGGTTCCCGAAGTAAGGATACAAGCAGACTGAGAGGTTACAAGGTTGCTGAGTGCTACAGTGTATCACTCTCGGGCTTTTAATGAAGGAATTCATTTAGTCTTTGCAAGCCCCTGGGAGTAGCTCACCATTCCTGTTTCCATTTCACAGATGGGGAAATGAGGCACAGAGAAGTTAAGTAACTTGCCCAAGGTCTCACAGCTAGTAAGTAGAATTGGGGGGGTCATGGGTATGGATGTGTTTCAGAAGGCAGTTGTTGCAGAGTGATAACATGGACCTACCTTAAGAAAACAGACCAAAACAGTAGATTTAGATGTAACAAAACGAAGCTGTCCCCGAGCAAAGGAGAGAGGGGAGTGCCAGGGTGCTTTTCTAGAAAGGCCAAGTGAATGTGCCTGTTTTGGGGCCAAGCTGGAGGTCTGGAGGTGTCTGGGATGGGGAGGCAGAGGCAGGTGGGGTCCCATGGGAGCCAGGGACCAGATGGAGGTCCACAGCCCTCAGGTGTGACCTGGTCCCGTTGCCTTCTAGAGAACTTCGATGCAGGCCTGGAGCAGAGACTGAACTGGACACGGAAGCCTTGGTGAGTGGTGTAGGGGTGCTGCCAGCTGCTGCTGTGGTGTCCATGAGGCTTGTCTGGGTCCCACGGCCTGGATGGATGGAAGGACAGATGGGGCAGGGTGCCGAACTCCTGTCCCCCATCTCTGAGGCAGGTCTTGCGCAGATGGGCTGGGCGCTGGGCGCTGGGTTCTGCAGCACTGGGTGGGAGGCAGGAGGGCAGAGCACCTCGCGTGCTATCTGTGCCGGCAGAAGGCTGGGTTTGTGTGGCTTCTTGGAAATGAACCTCCAGGCTCTCGCCAGGATCTGGTCAGGAAGAGGGCAGCTGGGTCCCAAGGAAATCCCCACCAGCCCATCATCTGAGAGGGTCCCTGCCTGAGTTCAAAACAGGAAGCCTGTTGCCGCCTTCATTCCAGGAACACTAGGCAGGAAGATTAGCTGGCCGTGCCTGGCGCCTCTCACACCGCCCTCCAGCCTGGCTGCCTGGCTCTTAACCATCAGATGGGTGCCCTTTGCTCCCTGGCCCGGCCTGGAGGTCACCTATGGCCTTGTTTGTCTGTGAAGCAGAAGAGGGCTGCCATCCGTGGAGGTGACGCTGTCCCTGCTGCCGCCCCTGCAGGCCTGGGGTTTGGGCTTTGCTTTGCCCACCTTGGGGATGCTGGGCAGAACCCACCTGTGACTGTCAGTGTGAGGGTCCAGTTGTTTTCCTGACTTCCTCCTCCTACATAGGTGGTGTTTGTTGAACACTTCTGGTGTGCTGGCCCTGGGGTTCTCTGTCAAGTGCACATTAGTCAGAAGGGAGGAAATCACCTTTGTCACCCTCCCTTGGCCCTGTAGGTCAGATGTCCTGGGTATCAGCTGGTGGCCAGGGAAGGAGGTGGCTAGGGGCCCTGGCCCAGGGCAAGAGCTTTTCTGCAGGGGGTGCCAAAGGCGTCCCCAGTTAACTCTGGGTTCAAGTCCCAGCCTCATGGTGTTGGGAGCCCCACAGGAGGGTGGATGTGGAGGAGGCTCAGGGAGTGTGGAGGAGCTGTGCCCCAGAGCCCGCGCCACCCCCATTGGCCCCGCCCCCGCTGGCCAGAACATTCCATTCATTCTTCCGCTCTGGAGCGCAGAGCTGCAGGCAGAGGAGGCAGAGTGGGAGCTAAGCAGGAGCCGGGCACTTGGGTGAGCAGCGGGGAGGGCCCGCCTGGGGCATGGGCTGGAGGAGTCTGGGGACAGCTGGGGCAGGACGTGCTGCCAGGAGAGACACTAGCTCTGATCAGAGTCTCGAAGCGACGGGGAAGTGGCTCTCTCTGCCCCACCTCTCCGGGCACAGGCCACAGAGCCAGAGAGGGTGACCCGAGGCCCCAGGACTGGTGGAGTCTTCCTGTCTCTGGTAGAAGCCACTGTCTTTTCCTAGCTTGGTTGCCGTGTCTTGGGTTAGGGCTGGGGTCACCTGCCCCTTCTGGCGTGGTGCATCCTCCCTGCCACCACCTCCAAGCCATCAGAGACTCCAGGTCCTGTCACGCACCAGCTCTGGATGCCGTCCGGCTGGCCTGTGAGTGGAGACGCTGGGCTGGACAGGCCCCAGGCCCTGTCTACCTGACTACGGAAGCAGGAGCACCTGGCAGAGGCCAGCCAAGCCTGGTGCTCTACTGTGCTGGCGGGGGTGGGCAGGGCTTTGTGCACTGCCTGCTTGCTCCTCAGTTACATTTGCCAGGAGGGCTGAGGAGGCTGACGACGGTCAGCGCAGAGGTGCAGGGTAGACCTGGAGAGGCACCGTGGGGCCTGAGCCTAGGCTTGTGGGAGGCTGCGGTAGGAGTTGCAAGTGTGTGAGAAGGCAGCTCAGCTTCTCCCAGAGCCCATGCCCAGGGAGTACCAGCCTTAGCCAGGAACAAAGCAGGCTCCTTTCTGTTTCCTGGAGGAGGTGAGTAGAGCAGAGCGTGACAGGGAATGTGGTGGTCACAGGCAGATTGGCATCCTAGCCGCACCCACACCATTTAGCCAGCCTCAGAAAGTTTTTGTGTGCGCCTTGGTTTCTTTACCTGTGAAATGGTCCTATAATGGTGACTCTTTTTTTTTGTTTTGTTTTGTTTTGTTTTGTTTTTGAGACAGGGTCTCACTATGCAGTTCAAACTGGCCATGAGCTCACTTTGTAGCCCAGGCTGGTCTCGAACTCACAGTGTGTGACACCACACCCAGCTCAGACTTTCTGCTTTAAACTCAGTGCAGTCCAGTGAAGGAGTCACCATTATATGCCGGGTGTGATGGCGCACACCTGTAATCCCAGCTCTCGGGAGGCTGAGGCAGGAGGGTCGTTAAGAGTTCCAGGCCAGCCTGGGCTACAAAGTGAGCTCAAGGCCAGTCTGAACTGCATAGTGAGACCCTGTCTCAAAAAGAGAAAAAAAAAAAAAGCAGAAAGTCTGGCAACCACCCCATTCAGGGCCTGGCCTGCACCACAGCCCACACAGGGGCAGCCGACAACCAGGTCACCAGTCAGCTGCCAGGAGGTGCACACCACAGCACTGTCACTGGGGTATGTGACATGGAAGTTGTTTCTGACGTTTCAGTCTGATGGCTTTTCTTCTTATTATTTTTTATTTCCTCAGTAGTGAGGATTGAACAGAGGGCTTTAACACTGAACTGCATCCTCAGCCTTTTTTTTCCTTTTTATGTTGAGACCGAGTCTCACTAAGTTACTGAATTGCCAGGCCGAGCTTGAACTTATATGATTTTCCTACCTCAGCCCCTCAGAGTACTGGAACTCTAGGTGTGTTCTACCACATCTAGCTATGATGGTTTCTTTTTTTTCTAAAACCTTTTAATGGATAACAAAATAAGGACTGTTTTCCTAGAGAAGGAGAGTGTGGGAAGAGTGGTCTCAGGTGGCCCTGCAGGAAATAGGAGCCCTCTGGAGGCTCAGGGTGGGGAACCACTGTCGGGGCCTGGCCCCACTCGGCCACTGTGGTCAGAGCGGACTGGATGTGGGGACCCCAGCCACAGAGGCACAGGCATACTCGGACGATCACAGTGGGTCTAGGAGCAGGGTGCCCCGAGCATCTGGAGAGGGTAGTCCCCAGCGGGAGAGGCTGGGGCTGCCAAGGCCTGGGGACTCCAGAGGTGGACCGACCCTGCCATTTGCCCAAGGTGCCAGAACCCCTGAGTTGAGGGGGTTGCTCATGAGGATTCACCTGCTACTCCAGGGGGAACCTCAAATCAGGTTCAGCAGCACTAACTTCCTTCCCACCCACCACACCCTCATCCATGCAAGTGAGGCCCTGGGTCTTGCACACATACATGCACACGAGCCCATGGGCTCACCTCCAGGGGCACAGATGGGCCCTGTCCTATAGCCCTGTCTCCACCCTCCCTGCTCCAGTCTTGGGGTCTCCTTCTGAGACCTGGTGAGGTAGGAATTGGTTATCTCTCTGTGAAGCCCCCAGGGCCCTGCCTGTCCTGCCCCACGCCTGAAGCTGTGCTGGGGTGGAGGGAAGGATGGGCCAGGGTGGAGGGGCATTCTGCCTACTCTGCTGCATTACCCAGGGTAGGGGAACCTGGAGGAAGGTGGGTCCACCTCAGGCCGTACCAACAGGTGTGTGCTCCAGGGTCACCAGCTGTGGTCTCTCTGCCAGCCTGGCCTGTGTGGCGCTGGGTGTGCCCCTGAGCTGTAGTTTCTCTGGGTCTAAGAGCAGGTTTGAATACTTTCAAGGCTTCTGGGAGATATTCTTCATCACCTATAGGCCAGCCTGCCGCTGCTGGATCCAGGGAGACCCTGACATGGGCAGTAGCCAGGCCTTGGTCCCAGCCCTAGGTTAGATTACAGCTTGTTGAGAAGGGCTAGAAAATGGGCTTCCTTTGAGATCTCCAGCAAGGCAAGTGGGTGTAAAAGAAAGAAAGGGGCTGGGCCCTGGGTTTTCCTGCTTGTTGGGACCTGCTCTGGCTTGGGTAGGAGGGCCCTGGGACCATAGTGGGTGACCCGGGCTGGACTCCCCTGATCCTCTCTCTCCCCGCAGGGTGTAAAGGGCCATGGTGCTGCGGCTCTGGGCCCTGGCCTTCCTGGGCCTGGTGGGGCTGGGAGCAAGCCTTCGGCCCCGCAGGCAGGACGTGTTCAGCAGCGAGACGGAGCTGAATCACCTGGTGGTGGATGAGGCCTCGGGTGTGGTGTACGTGGGGGCTGTGAATGCCCTGTACCAGCTGAGTGCCGACCTGCGCCTCCAGCAGCAGGCCACCACGGGGCCTGCGCTGGACAACAAGAAGTGCACGCCGCCCATCGAGCCCAGCCAGTGCCACGAGGCGGTGAACACTGACAACGCCAACCAGCTGCTGCTGCTCGACCTGCCCGGGAAGCGCCTGGTGGAGTGCGGCAGCCTCTTCAAGGGCATCTGTGCCCTTCGGGCCCTGAGCAACATCTCTGTGCTGCTCTTCTATGAGGATGGCAGTGGTGAGAAGTCCTTTGTGGCCAGCAACGATGAGAGTGTGGCCACTGTGGGGCTGGTCAGCTCCGCGCGTCCAGATGGGGAGAGAGTACTGTTCGTGGGCAAGGGCAACGGGCCGCACGACAACGGCATCATCGTGAGCACCCGCCTGCTGGACCGGTCTGAAGGCAGGGAGGCCTTCGAGGCCTACTCTGACCATACCACCTTCAAGGCTGGCTACCTGTCCACCAACACACAGCAGTTCGTGGCGGCATTCGAGGACGGCCGCTACGTCTTCTTCGTCTTCAACCAGCAGGACAAGCACCCAGCCCAGAACCGCACCCTGCTGGCACGCATGTGCAAGGATGACCCTTCCTACTATTCCTATGTGGAGATGGACCTGCAGTGCCTGGAGCCTGGCGACCACAGTGACCCTGAGGGCTCTCCCTTCGGTGCCTGCCTGGCAGCCTCTGTGGCCTCACCAGGTGCCAGCAGGGTGCTCTACGCTGTGTTCAGCAGGGACAGTCGGAGTGGAAGGGGACCTGGGGCTGGTCTCTGCCTGTTCCCGTTAAATGAGGTCCACGACAAGATGGAGTCCACCCGTAGTGCCTGCTACACGGGCTCCCGGGACTCAGGCCGGGACATCTTCTACAAGCCCTTCCATGGCGACATCCAGTGTGGTGGCCACTTGGCGGTATGTCTGCCCTGCGCCTGGGCATGGGTGCATGCAGACTGTCATGCTGTTGGCCCGAGGGGTGCATGTGCAAGTGTAGTACCAGGGCTGTGCTGGGTATTGGCACACGTGACAGGGAGCAAGTGGATGGGGTGCCGACTGTGTGGGCCTTCGTCTTGGGGACTTGAGGGGTAAGGAGGTCCATGCCCATTGCTGACGTCCTGGTCTGCAGGGTGCCAGTGAGAATTTCCCCTGTGGCTCGGAGCACCTACCCTACCCACTAGGCAGCCGTGATGGCCTTAAAGCCACTGCTGTGCTGCGGCGTGGAGGCCTGAATCTGACAGCCGTGACAGTCACTGCTGAGAACGGTCACACGGTGGCTTTCCTGGGTACCTCTGATGGCCGGATCCTTAAGGTGAGGTCCCGTGCTGGGCAGGGAGGCTCCCGAAACTGCCTGTGTGCCAGGCCCCACCCCACATACCTTCCCTCGTACCACAGGTGTACCTCACCCCAGACGGCACCTCCACAGAGTACGGCTCCATCCTTGTGGAGCTCAACAGGAGAATCAAACAGGATCTGGTGCTGTCTGGAAACCTGTCTAGTCTCTACGCCATGACCCAGGACAAGGTCAGCCTGGACCTGGCCGGGGGCCCTGGTGACGAGCCTGGGGTTGTGGATGAGGGGCAGCCGGCCAGCACCCCCAGCCACGTCTCCTCGGCTGTTCCCATTTCTGTCCCGAGCCTGCTGCATCCTCCCCTCAGGTCCTGCCCTGCCTTGTTCTGGTGGAAGGGCCTGAACCTGCAGGGTTTGGTGCAGATGCCCCACAGAAGGGGGGGTGCAGAAGCCTGGGCGGGCCCTGTCTCCAGAGCGCTGGCTCACGGCCCCACTGCCCCAGGTGTTCCGGCTCCCGGTGCAGGAGTGTCTCAGCTACCCAACCTGCGCGCAGTGCCGGGACTCCCAGGATCCCTACTGTGGCTGGTGTGTCGTCGAGGGACGGTGAGCTCCTTGGCCTTGTCCCTGGAGGAGACGACCCTGTTTGTCCCGGGGTGGCCAAGATCTCACCTGGGGGCCGAGGGATGCCAGGGCTGAGGCCACCCCCGTCCTCACAGGTGCACCAGGAGGAGTGAGTGCCCGAGGGCTGAGGAGGCCAGCCATTGGCTGTGGAGCCGGAACAAGTCCTGTGTGGAGATCACAGACACCCAGCCTCAGAACATGAGCCGGCGGACCCAGGGAGATGTGCGTGACCGGGTTGGGCTAGAATGGGGTGCAGGCCAGAGGCAGGGCCAAGAGGGACTCCCAAGCACTCCTGCTGGGAAACCCTGGTCTGTCGCCCTCCCACCCTGCCCCCCCGGCCATCGTAGAATGGGTAGGAGCAGCACAGCCCTCTGGAGTAGAGCTGGTGTTGCCTCTGCGAGGCTGGGCAGAAGGTGTAGGGGTCTGGGGGTCCTGGTGCCAGCCACTGCCCTGTGCCCCAGGTGCGGCTGACTGTCAGCCCCCTCCCAGCCCTGACCAGTGAGGACAAGCTGCTGTGCCTCTTCGGGGAGTCGCCGTCACATGTCGCCCGCGTGGATGGGGACGCCGTCATCTGCATCTCCCCAAGCAGCATCCCCAGCACACCTCCAGGCCAGGGTGAGGCCCCAGGCCCAGGGCAGGCAGGGCCCCTTTCTGCCTACTCCTGTGGGTGCCAGCCTCTTGGGCCCCACACCTTCAAGGGCTGGTCCTGGGCTGGTTCTAGGGTTCACATGGCTCTGGGGGCCCAGCCCAAAACACATGGTGGGGGGCATCCTGGGGTGGTGTGGGTGTCTCTCCCTGAGAGCTTCAGGCTGGCTCCTGCTGGTTATCTGTTATGTGCAATGTCTGGGGGCTGGACCCCTCCTCTCCCGTCCCTTCCCCTGCCTGAGATAGCTGGACTGTCCCCGAGGGCAGCCCGAATGTGGGTCAGGGCAGGTGCCAAGCCCTTGTCCCCTGAGTGACGTGGGCAGGGACCCGACAGGGCCTCCTGCCCAGACTCTGAGGAGCCACTGCTCTCCCTGTGGTGCAGAGGGAGGCACGAAAGCAGCCAGGCCCCTGGGAGAAAGGCGAGCCTGGCCCTGGGAGCTGACATCCGAGCCGGGTGTCCTGCCCCTGCCCTGCTGAGCCCCGTTCTGCTCCGCCTCTGCGGCTGGCGCAGAGTTGGCCTCCAGGCCCCGCCTCTCCCTGCCCATCCTGCCCAGGCCTCCTTTCCCGCCTCTCTGATACCACCCCACTGCATCCGCAGACCATGTGGCGGTGAGCATCCAGCTCCTCTTTGAACGCGGCAATATCTTCCTCACCTCCCACCAGTACCCATTCTATGACTGCCAGAAGGCCATGAGCCTGGTGGAGAACCTGCCGTGAGTCTCTGAGGCCCCCGACCCTGCCCCAGGTGCCCCTTGTACCCCTCATGCCCCTCGCACCCCTCATACCCCCACCCTCTCCACAGGTGCATCTCTTGTGCCAGCAACCGCTGGACCTGCCAGTGGGACCTGCTGTACCACGAATGCCGGGAGGCTTCGCCCAACCCTGAGGGCAGCATCATCCGTGCCCACATGGTGAGGCCCGTGCCCGGCCCCCCCCCCCCCGTCCCGCTACAGCCCGGCAGCACGTGACCCCTCTTGCTCCCCCAGGAGGACAACTGTCCCCAGTTCCTGAGCCCCACGCCACTGGTCATCCCCATGAACCATGAGACTGATGTGACCTTTAAGGGCAAGAACTTGGACACAGTGAAGGTAGGGTGCAGGGACAGTTGCTGGGGAACAGCTGGGGGGCGGCTTGCTAGGGTCACCCTGATGTGAGCACCTGGTGCACCCCTGCCGTCTCCCACTCGGAGTCAGGGTGCATTGGAGGACAGGGCGGGAGGGAGGCCTTGGGGCCTTCCTGAGGCCTGGGCATATACACAAATGTAGTGTCTGCTGGTGGGCTAGAAGTAGGTGCAGATGTGGAGCAGGTGTTGGAGGTGCCCTGGGGACCTATTACTGCCCTGACACACCCACATGGGGATGTGCTGAGGCTACTGCAGACACAGCTGGGACTTGAGTGCCTCTGAGGGACCAGGTAGGCACCAGCTCCAGGAGCACAGAGGAGGTTTGGACACAGTGAGGCTCTAGAGGTCACCAGGGCAGCTGGGTTGACTTGTCTGAGCATCTGGCTGGGCTGTCCACAGGTGTCCTCCCTGTACGTGGGCAGCGACCTGCTCACATTTGAAGTGCCAGTGACCATGCAAGAGCCAGGCACCTTCTTCTTTCGGACCCCAAAGGTACAGCTCTGGGAAGGTGGTCCAGGCCTGGGTCCCCGCATCAGGGGTGGGGGGTGGTCGTGACCTCCAGGGTCCTCTGGGGAGATCCCTGTGGTGGAGCCTAGAGCCCTGGTGTGTCTCTGTGGGTCTCCCTGCACCAGAGGACCTCACGCCCTCCGCTGCAGTGGCACACGCTGCTCGTCCGTGTCTGTGTGGTGTCTCTGACGCTCTCCCTCTTTGGCCACCCGCTGGCCCTTGCTGACCCTGGCGCAGCGCAGGGACCATGTGGAGGATGTGGGCACATGATGGTCACCCCGGTGACTAACTCCATACCCCTTCGGGTAGGGGGAGGAGATGCAGTGTGTCCTTGTGTCTTGTCCCCAGCTGTCCCATGATGCCAATGAGACATTGCCTCTACACCTGTACGTCAAGTCTTACCGCAAGAATATTGACAGCAGGCTCCAAGGTGGGGTGGAGTAGGGTGGGGTGGACGTGGGGATGGGACAGGGTGGAGGCCTGGCTAGGGCAGCCCTGGGCACCGCTGACCGCTGTGTCTCCTCCGCAGTGACCCTCTACAACTGCTCCTTCGGCCGCAGCGACTGTTCCCTGTGCCTGGCAGCCGACCCCAACTACAGGTGTGTGTGGTGCCCCGGCCAGAGCAGGTGTGTGTACGAGACACTGTGTGGCAACGCCACCTCCGAGTGCCCGGCGCCCGTCATCACCAGGGTGAGCCCCCTGCCGCGTGGCCCCTGCCCATCCCCACGTCCCCACCCTGCCTGAGCCTCCGGGTCACTGGGAGCTGCTGATTGCAGATCCAGCCGGAGACCGGCCCACTAGGTGGGGGCATCCGCATCACCATCCTCGGGTCCAATTTGGGCATCAGAGCGAGCGATGTCAAGAGCATCACTGTGGCCGGCCAGAACTGCACCTTTGAACCGGAACAGTACTCTGTGTCCACCCGGTGAGGAGGCTGCCCTGGCCTGGGCCCGGGTGGGGTGGGGAGGCCCAGGGGGACGGAGGGCCGGAGCACGGCATGGCGTGCCCACACAGCAGACCCATGGGTGCTGTCCCCTCCAGCATCGTGTGTGTTATTGAGGCTGCGCAGGAACCCCTCAGCGGCGGCATCAAGGTAGAAGTCAATGGGAAGCTTGGCCGCTCGCCACCCAGCGTGCAGTTCACCTACCAGGTAGGCGGCTGTCCCGGGCCTGGCTGGACTCCAGGCAGAGGGCGCATGTGAGTCTAGCCTTGCTCTGGGCCTGGGAGGGCATACTCGGGCACTCTGCCCTGCTACCTTCTCACTCAGATGCAGCCCAGGTGACGGCTCAGCCTGAGGCTGCTTTGCGCTGACCCCAGCACGCCTGTCACTCTTTCAGCAGCCTGAGCCTCTCCTTGTGGAGCCAAAGCAGGGACCACAGGCAGGTGGCACCACGCTGACCATCAGTGGCACCCACCTGGACACAGGCTCCAAGGAGGACGTGCGGGTGACCCTCAACGATGTCCCTTGTGAAGTGTGGGTGTCACCCACCCTGCCCAGTCTGGCCCTGGGGTGGGGCCACTCCCACCATGAGCCTGAGTCTGACTGCTGAGGTTAGTGACTAGCACGTCCCTCCGCAGGACCGAGTTTGGGGAGCAGCTGCAGTGTGTCACAGGCCCCCAGCCGGCTCTGGGTGAGGTGGCTCTTGAGATCTCCTACGGAGGCTCCCCGGTGCCCAGCTCTGGCATCTCCTTCACCTACCGCGAGAACCCAGTGCTGCGGACCTTCGAGCCCCAGCGGAGCTTTGTCAGGTGTGCCCCCTTGTCCCCCGAGTGCTCAGCGCCTCTCTGGCGCCCTCTGCTGATCTGGCTGAGAGCATGGTGTCTGTCTGGACTGCAGGAGGAATCCTCCAGACCCTGAGTGCCCCATCTCTTGCCTGTGACACAACCATACATAATGAGCACGGTGCCCGCTCTGCTTCTTCCTCGCCTGTGGGCATTGATGGGAGCTGGTGGGGCAGGGTGTCTGCCCTGAGCTGACTGGGCACCGCCCTGGTCTGGCCGAGTGTAACCCTGACTCAAACCACCACCCCTCCCCAGTGGTGGCCGGAGCATCAGTGTCACTGGCCAAGGCTTCAGTCTCGTCCAGAAGTTCGCCATGGTGGTCATTGCTGAGCCCCTGCAGTCCTGGCGGCGGCGGCGGGAGGCTGGACCCCTGCAGACCACCACGGTTGGTCCGGCACGGCCAGGGGCTGGGTGCACTGTAGCCCTGAAGACAAAGGCTGGGAGGGCTGAGGTCTGTGCTGTGCAGCCTGACAGCCTTGGTCTATCCTGCAGGTCACGGGCACTGAGTACGTGTTCCACAATGACAGCAAGGTTGTGTTCCTGTCCCCGGCTGTCCCCGAGGAGCCCGAGGCCTACAACCTCACGGCGCTGATACAGATGGATGGGCACCGCGTCCTGCTCAGGACCGAGGCCAGCGCCTTCGAGTACGTGGCAGACCCCACCTTCGAGAACTTCACAGGTGGTGTGAAGAAGCAGGTCAACAAGCTCATCCATGCGCAGGTGAGGAAGTGTGGGTGGGCACAGCTAGGGTAGTGGACTCCGGGGATGATGGTCTGACCTCGGCCTCCTGTCTCTCCAGGGCACCAACCTGAACAAGGCCATGACGCTGCAGGAGGCAGAGGCCTTCGTGGGTGCTGAGCGCTGCATCATGAAGACACTCACAGAGACTGACCTGTACTGCGAGCCGCCCGAGGTGCAGCCCCCGCCCAAGCGGCGGCAGAAGCGGGACACAACACACAACCTGCCTGAGTTTATTGTGCGTGCGTGGGGTCAGGGGCTCGGGCCGGGTCAGCCCTGCTGTGCTGCCCACACTGAGCTTTCTCCTCTGCAGGTAAAGTTTGGTTCACGAGAGTGGGTGCTGGGCCGGGTAGAGTACGACACGCGTGTCAGTGACGTGCCGCTCAGCCTCATCCTGCCGCTGGTCATCGTGCCCATGGTGGCTGTCATCGCGGTGTCTGTCTATTGCTATTGGTGAGCCACACCCTCCTGGGAGCTGGGACACCCCCGCCTTCCTGCCTTGGCCTGCTCCGAGAGCCTCCCGGGCCTGGGCACCCTTAGGCCAACCCATGGCAGACCCAAGAGCCTCTCCTTGCCCCACAGGAGGAAGAGCCAGCAGGCTGAGCGTGAGTACGAGAAGATCAAGTCCCAGCTGGAGGGCTTGGAGGAGAGTGTGCGTGACCGCTGCAAGAAGGAGTTCACAGGTGTGTGTCCAGGGCGGGCTGCTGCCTGCCCTCAGCGTGGGCCGCTGCCTGCCCTCAGCGTGGGCCGTGTCCGCAGGGTGCCACTCGGGGCTGGGCGCCTCACCCTGGCCTCGCACCCCTAGACCTGATGATCGAGATGGAGGACCAGACGAATGATGTGCATGAGGCGGGCATCCCCACGCTGGACTACAAGACCTACACAGACCGGGTGTTCTTCCTGCCCTCCAAGGACGGCGATAAGGACGTCATGATCACCGGCAAGCTGGACATCCCCGAGTCACGGCGGCCTGTAGTGGAGCAGGCGCTCTACCAGTTCTCCAACCTGCTCAACAGCAAGTCCTTCCTCATCAACGTGAGTGGGGCGGTGGGGCGGGCGGAGTCCACGGGCCCTTGAAGGGCCTGGGGTGCTGGAGTGGTGACCCGGCACCTCCACAGTTTATCCACACCCTGGAGAACCAGCGGGAGTTCTCGGCCCGTGCCAAAGTCTATTTCGCGTCGCTGCTGACGGTGGCGCTGCACGGGAAGCTGGAGTACTACACGGACATCTTGCGCACGCTCTTCCTAGAGCTCATGGAGCAGTACGTGGTGGCCAAGAACCCCAAGCTGATGCTGCGCAGGTACCGGGGCACGGGATGGGGAAATATGGAGCCAAGCCCACCCCTCTCTGGCCCACGGTCCCTGCTGGTCATGCAGCCACCTGTGCAGGCGTCCTGACGAGGACCCGGGACTCACATGTGCTTGAAAGGGCTGCTGGGCCTTAGGCTTTCTGTGCTCCTAGGTCTGAGACGGTGGTGGAGAGGATGCTGTCCAACTGGATGTCCATCTGCCTGTACCAGTACCTCAAGGTGGGCTCCCCTGGGGCGAGGAGAGAGGAGGCACTGTCCCTGCACATACACGCCTTACCGTTTGGTGCCGTGAGGTGCGCCTGGCCCCACTGGACAGTCCTACCCTTCCTGCTCACACTGCCTGCCACCTTCCTGCTCTAGGACAGCGCTGGTGAACCACTCTACAAGCTCTTCAAGGCCATCAAACACCAGGTGGAAAAGGGGCCAGTGGATGCCGTGCAGAAGAAAGCCAAGTACACCCTCAATGACACGGGGCTGCTAGGGGATGATGTGGAGTATGTGCCCCTGGTGAGTCCCAGGCTGGCAGCTGTGCCAAGGGCTGGGGCTCCCCTGATGTCAGGTGGGGTGACCAGAGCTTTCAAGACCAGCAGCATAAGATGAGAGGCGAGCGCCAGCCATGGCGGCATACTCCTGTAATCCCAGCCCTTAGGCAGCTGAGGCTGGAGGGTTGCGGCTGGTGATGTGGCAGTGCCAGTGTGCACCTACCTGTGCTCAGCATCACAGCGTGATCCCTGCACCGCCATGCCAGGCAGCCAGTGCATATGCTGTGATTAGTGGGTGCACTCGTCCCCGGAGAGGGCACTATTAAATGTCACCACTAGCCAGGTTTTCCCAGAGCCCTGGCCTGCTGCGGGGCATGCACAGCGGTGACTGTGTGCACCTTTGAGCATGTGTTCCCTAGAGCTGCACCCCACCCTGCTGAGCGTGGGATGAACAAAGCTGGTCCATCCTGGGTACCAGTCTGGGTATCCGGGGCTGGTGGAATGGAGGCGGGTCCTTCCCAGCAGCCCTGAACAAACCTTGTTCCTGGCAGACGGTGAGTGTGATCGTGCAGGACGAAGGTCTCGATGCCATCCCCGTCAAGGTCCTCAACTGCGACACCATCTCTCAGGTCAAGGAGAAGATCATTGACCAGGTGTACCGCACACAGCCCTGTTCCTGCTGGCCCAAACCCGACAGCGTGGTCCTTGGTGCGTGAGCTAGGGCTGTGTGGACGTGGCCATGCGTAGGAGGGGCAGAGATGGGCATCAAGGGGGAGCCCGGGTGGACAGCCTGTGTCCTGAGGTCTCACGAGCCAGTTGCGTCCTCCACAGAGTGGCGTCCTGGGTCCACGGCTCAGATCCTCTCTGACTTGGACCTGACCTCCCAGCGGGATGGCCGGTGGAAGCGCATCAACACCCTCATGCATTACAATGTGAGTGTGGGGTAGTGACAGGATGAGGACCCCACTCAGTAGGGTCAGGCCTGGCCTCATGGCTGTGTCCCCAGGTCCGGGATGGAGCCACCCTCATCCTGTCCAAGGTGGGCGTCTCCCAGCAGCCAGAGGATAGCCAGCAGGACCTGCCTGGGGAGCGTGAGTCCTGTCTCCTGCCCACCATCCCTTCCAGCCTCTGAACTCACAGGGACCCTGTCCACCCTCTGCTGTCACCACTTGGGGATCTAGGCCAGCGTGGGACCCAGGCACTGGCCTCCAGCCCTCCCCTGCCCACGGGTATTGCCCTGGCAGGCCCCTGAGGTCCCCCTCCCACAGGCCACGCCCTGCTAGAGGAGGAGAACCGAGTGTGGCACTTGGTGCGGCCAACGGATGAGGTGGAGGAGGGCAAGTCCAAGCGGGGCAGCGTGAAGGAGAAGGAGCGGACCAAGGCCATCACCGAGATCTACCTGACAAGGCTGCTGTCGGTCAAGGTGGGCATGCAGGCAGCGGAGGAGGGCATGTGAATGGCCTGGAAGCCATGGCAGAGGGGTCATGTGGATCCTTTCCCCACAGGGCACGCTGCAGCAGTTCGTGGACAACTTCTTCCAGAGCGTGCTGGCACCTGGACACGCAGTGCCTCCTGCGGTCAAGTACTTCTTTGACTTTCTGGATGAGCAGGCTGAGCGGCATGACATCCGGGATGAAGACACCATCCACATCTGGAAAACCAACAGGTGAGGCATGAGGCCCGGTGCCCACCGCCCGCCCGCCCTGGCCCTCCCAGCCCGTCACCCCTCACCCGCCGTGTCCACAGCCTGCCACTCCGCTTCTGGGTGAACATCCTCAAGAACCCCCACTTCATCTTCGACGTGCACGTGCATGAGGTGGTGGATGCCTCGCTGTCAGTCATTGCACAGACCTTCATGGACGCCTGCACACGCACGGAGCACAAGCTGAGCCGCGTGAGTGGGGCGGGGCTATGGCAGGGCCCCGGGGGCGGAGAGGTAGGACAGGAGAGGAGGGGACAGTTCACAGGATAGCGCAGGGCGCTGAGACCGTGAGTGTGGGGTGGGCTGCATGCTGTGAGTGTGGACTTGCACAGCTCAGAGGGAGGTGGGGGGTGACCCCAGGCTCCTGCCCCCCTTGGCCTCCCAGGATTCCCCCTCCTTACGCAAGCAGAGAAACGGAGTTCTGCTACGAAGTAGGAAGTCATTTTCTTGACGAGAGCTGTGGGGGTCTAGATGGGCCACACCACCCACCTCAGCGGGGCTCTGCGTGACTGGGCCGTGTCCCCCACAGGACTCGCCCAGCAACAAGCTGCTGTATGCCAAGGAGATCTCTACCTATAAGAAGATGGTGGAGGAGTGAGTGCCCCCCCGCAGCCACAGATAGCTGGCTACCGTCAACCCTGGCAGTCAGGAGGAGGAGGCTTGGGGGTGGCTTGGGGTTCCAGGGGGACTCGCAGGCCCTCCCGGAGCTTCCCTCAGCCCCTTTTGTCCCTGTCCCTCTCCCTGTAGTTACTATAAGGGGATCCGCCAGATGGTGCAGGTCAGTGACCAGGACATGAACACACACCTGGCCGAGATCTCGAGGGTGAGCAGAGCAGGGCTGGGTGGTACGGAACAGTGCCTGGGAGGGTGGGGCTGGGAGCGCGTGGCCGGGCGAGGGAAGTGAGTTCCTGCGTGAGGCTGAGTTGGCGGGGCGAGCGGTTTGCCCTGGCTGTGCCATCGTGCAGCCACAGTGTCGCTACTGCTGCTCCTGTTCCACGCTGGTGACGCTGTTGTCCCCCAGGCGCATACGGACTCCCTGAACACCCTGGTGGCCCTGCACCAGCTCTACCAATACACACAGAAGTACTACGACGAGGTGGGTCTGGGACTGTGGCGGGTACACGGGCAGCCTCTTTCTGGGCCTGAGTTCTCACCAGTGTCCTCTTCAGATCATCAATGCCTTGGAGGAGGACCCTGCTGCCCAGAAGATGCAGCTGGCCTTCCGCCTGCAGCAGATCGCAGCTGCTCTGGAGAACAAGGTCACTGACCTCTGACCTCTGACCGTCCATGCTGCCTTCAGGCCCAGGTGCGTGGCCTGTGTCTGGTGTGGGTGGCTCCCCAGGATGCACCGCCCTGGTGTGGCTGAGGCTGCTCCTCTCCCAGCAGACGTGCCCCAAGTGTGGGGCGCAGCGGACCCACCTCGGGCCCACCTCCTGCTGTAGACGGTAGCATCTTTCTCCTGAGCAATACAGCCCGGGTTCCAGCACCAGCTTTCCTGTGGCACCAGCATTGCTGTGCTCGTCTCCTGAGGATTCCCAAACGTGCCTTACAGGCCACACTGGGCCACTGCGAGTCGTGGGGCCTTGGCCTCCCCTGCCTGAGCACCAGCACCCTCTTCGGATGCCCTAGGCTTGGCTTCTAAGGTGGGTCGAGTGCCTGCAGCCCCCAGGGCAAGTTCCCGGACTGAGTATCTGCCTGTCTGCCAGATAGAAGGAGGAGAAAAAGCGGTACGATGCCTTCTGACCTCACCTGGCCTCCCTGCGGGGCGCGAGGGCTGCCGGGCCCCACCTCTAAGGTCAAGCTGGACGTCAGACGTCGGGGCCCAGATGGCCAGTAGGACCCAGCAGACTGGGAGTCCTGGTCTCGGCCTGTCAGACAGGCTGTCTGGAGGCTCCCCTGGGCCAGCTCCACCAGGACCACCTCATCCTTTTTTGTAAATTTTGTTAATTGTAAATCCATTACACATCTGTCTTTTTCACTCTTGGCTGACTGGGTTCATCCTGAGGCTGCCCACGTGTCCTCACCTTCCCTATCCCTAGCTCTGTGGCTCTCAGCACCTCTGCTTGGGCACCATGCTGGCGTAGGGTGGCCCCTGTGTGGGAGACAGGCGCGCTGCCTGGCTGGGTGTGGGGGCTGGGCCATCTCTGCTGCCCTGTGGTGGCCTTGATGGCTGCCCACCTCCCCTCCTCTTGGCATGAGCTGCTGGGACTGTGGGTGGGGCCAGTAGGGTGTGACCCTGTCTTGACCTGTACTCTCACGTTCTGCTACTAACGGGAGCCAGAGGCAGCATGTCACAGTGTATGGTTAGGGGGCCCCTACTGTGTGCAGAGCCTGCCGGACACCAGGGCAGCTCCGAAAGAGGTCACCAGAGGTCGGTTTCCTCTCAGCCTTGCCAGCGACTCAGGAGCAAACAGGACCCACGTTCTGTGGCCTGAGGGAGCTCCTGGCCTCACCCCCCAAACGTGTCAGGGACCATGCTGGGCATCACAGCCCAGCAGAGCACAGGATGCTGGCTCTGCCCTCGATGCCCCTCCTACTCCAAGAACCTCCACCCGAGCAGCAGGTGGTCCAGGCCTTCACACAGCTCCCTGTGGCTGGATAAGAGCTGCTTCGCCCTCAAATTCTCCTCCCCTTTGTCCCCTCCGTGGACACATCTTCGTGGCTGGGAGTCTGGATGGAGCAGCCACTGTGGACCTTGCAACCGTGTGCATCAGGGTGGTCGCAGGGAAGCCACATGGACCACGACCATGGTCTCCCCAGAAAAGGGCATGAAGCCAGCAGCTGACCTGGGACCTGGGCAACACTGTGGTGATGGCCTCGTGCTGGGGCACACCCTCCTCGGGGCCTGACTGGCCTGAAAATCGGGGCAAGGTGCTGCCAAGTCAGCAGGAGCGGAGGGCATGGTCTCCCGACTGGACCCCTACAGAGCACCTCTGTCTTCCATGGACGTTAGTCAGGGAGACCCCACCTGTGCTGGGACCCTCTCCTCCCCACCCTCTGGAGGACAAGCAGGGTGTGGACAGACCAGGCCAGGCACGAAGGGCAGAAGGCCAGCAGATCAAGAGTGACCTGTCCCTGCAATGTCTCGCTTCCCATTTTCCTCCCAGTGGAGGAGGAGGGGGAGGTGACAACAAGGGGCTGTGGGTAACCTTAATGTCCTTTCTAAAAGCAGCCCTTACCTAAGCTGGGTGTGGCAGTGCACACCTGTGATCCCAGCACTTGGGAGGCTGAGGCAGGTTGGCCACTGCAAGTTTGAGTCCAGCCTGGCTACATCAGCTGGCCTAAACTACAAAGTGAGACACTGTCTCAAAAATAAAAACACCCCCTAAAGCAGTTTGATACCCCAGATGGGTCTTCCAGGAAGTCCATGCTGACCACGAGTACAGGTGCAGCCAGGAGACGCTGAGGGGGGGCCAGGGACATGGAGAGGGGCTGGGGCAAAGTGAGCACATGAATATGGAGATGGGGCCCGGGGTAGGAGGTTCTTGCACCACAGCTCCCACCTGCCCTCTGCCTTGCCGGCTGCACCCCACCTCAGGCCACGCACTTTGCAAGCTTAGCCCTGTTCCCTAGCTGTGCCACTGAGCCACCTTCCTGATGGGGCTAGGGTGAGTGTTGGGGACCTCCCGAACTCACTACCTCCTGACCTCCACTCCCTGACCCTCACAGTATTAGACCCTTTCTGTCCTCAGAGGGTGCAAGTGTGCCGTGGCCAGGTTGCTAATCTGGGCTGGACCCATACGTCTTGCAGGGGTGCCGCAGTGGTCAGCCCTGACAACCAGGACTTGAGCAGTTGAGGTGTGGAGGGGGATCCTGCGTGGGCAGGCAGCTCCCCACCACTGGGGAGATCAGGGTGCAGCCTGGAGGGTCCAACTGGTAGCCCCTAGGAACCTACCTGCCATGGCCCTGCCCCCTCCTCAGACAAAGGCAGTTCCTTCCTCTGAGGCCCGGCTGAGGTTCCCATTGGGCCTTCAGTGACTTCCATTAACTCCACGTGAACCCTCTGCCACCCAGGAAAAGCACTCAGGCAGAAGCCTTCGAGGAGGCAGGGGGAGGACAGCAGGGCTGGGGCCACGCTCTGGCTCTGCCTAGACCCCGAGGCCAACTCTGGCTCCTGGAGGGAACTGAGGCCTACTGGGGGGGTTTGGGGGGGGCTTGGTCAAGGTCATAGAAAAGAGACCAGAGGGACAGGGCCTGGAATGCCTTTTGCCTTGAGGTTCGCACCTCTGGTGGATGAGCATATAGACCCAAGACTTCCTGACTTGTTCTAATTTGGTTACTGATTTTTAATGTTTATTTTACTATCTTTGCCATGCTAGGAATCAAACCCAAGGCCTCATGCGTGCTAGCCAAGAACTACTAAACTACACCCCAGCCCTAATTTTTAATTAAAAAATCAAATTTGTGCTGGACACCAGCATAATACCATCAACATCAGCTATTCTCAAGGCTGACCCATGGGATTCACAAGTTCCAGACCAACGTGGGCAACCTAGTGAGACACTTAAAGAGAGGGTGGCTAGGAGGATAGCTCAGTGGAAGACCTGTTGTGTGGCCTGTGTGAGCTCCTGGGTTCAATCCCCACAAAATACAGTGGGGTGTGACGGTGCACACCTGTTCAGCATTCTGGGAGGCTGAGGCAAGAGGATTGCAAATCTGAGTACAGACTGGGCAATTTAATCACATCCTGTCTCAAAGATAACAGTGTGGTAGTGTATACCTGTAATCTCAGCACTCGGGAGGCTGAGGCAGGCGGATCGCTTCAAGTTTGAGGCCAGCCTGGGCTACAAAGTGAGTTCAAGGCCAGCCTGAACTACATAGTGAGACTCTGTCTCAAAACACCAAATATAAGTGAACAACAATAGCAACAGGGCCAGGCATGGTGTCACACGCCTGTAATCACAGCACTTGGGGGACTGAGGCAGGAGGATCCCTGCGAGTTCAAGACCAGCCTGGGCTACAAAGTGAACTCAAGTCCAACTGCATAGACGAGACCCTGCCTCAAAAAGACAAACACAAAAAACCAGCAACGGGATAGGGATGGGACGTAGCTCAATAGGAAGGCCCTGGGTTCAGTCCTCAGTACCAGGATAAAAAATACACTAAAATAAATCAGATCTCACATGAAAACTCAGACTGTTTTAAAGAACATCGGTCAATTTAGACGCTAATTTCCCACTTTTCTGAAAGGGGGAACACAGCTACACACATTCCTCTCCAGGGTGCAGCTGAGAGCCACTGCAAGGCTAAGCCAAAGTGCCCATCCGACCATGGCATGGGCCCCTACCCCTGGCCGGGAGGACCGGACCCCAGCACATCTCAGGACCGGGAAAGTCCCGGTGGGCTTCCCGGGAGAGGTGACAGTAACCCATGCAGGGACCGCCTGGGGCGGCGCCACGCCCCGGGAGCCCGGGCGGCGCCGCTGTCCCTGGTCCTGACGCCGGGAGACCCAGCTGGACCAGGCGACCCGCACCCCTCGCGGCCGCTGTCCAGGCCGCACCCTCGTCCGAGGTGCCCGGCTTCGAGGACAGACTCCGGGCCCGAGGGCGGAGGGGCGGAGCCGCGCGGTCGGCCTCCGGGAACCCCCGCGCGGCCGGGAAATCCGCCTGCCTCGGCCCCGCCCCGCGCTTCGCCCCGCCCTGCGCCGCCCCCCTCCCCGCTCCCGGCGCGGCCAGGCGGGGCTCGGCCATGTCGGGCCCGCGGGCCGGCTTCTACCGGCAAGAGCTGAACAAGACGGTGTGGGAGGTGCCGCAGCGGCTGCAGGGCCTGCGCCCCGTGGGCTCGGGCGCCTACGGCTCGGTCTGGTAGGGCCAGGCGGGGTTCCGCGTGGAGAGGGGTCGGTCGTGGGGAGGGGTGGCGGCGCGGGGAGGGGGCCCCGTGTAGGGCGGGGTCCGAGAGTGGTGAGGGATTCCCCACGGAGAGGGAGCCTGGGGCGGGGAGGGGGCCCGCGTGGGGAGGGGCTTGCCTCGCCCCTGCCCCGGCCCGCGCGCCGCGGCGAGTGAATGGGGGGAAGATGTGCGCGGGAAACTTCCTTCCCACGCAGCCCCCGAGACCCCCGCTGGGAGCGAGCCTGGGGTGCACAGCGGAGCCGGGCTCTGGGCAGCCGCCCTTGGTTTTCTGGGACCAGGGCCAGATCGTCCCCCGGGCCTAGCGGCGCCCCCAACCCTGGCAAGTGCTATTGTTTGGAAGCGCCGGGTGGAGGGAGTCAGCACCCCTCTCCTAGGATGGCTTCCTGCGGGTCCCGCCTCCGCCCCACTTTTCTAGGCGACTCAGACTGCGCACTCGGGTTAGGCCTGACGGAGCAACGCCTGCCTTTCTCCCCACAATCTTTAGGGAGCGTCTACACCTCACCCTAATTATGCCCCAGCCAAAGGCACCGTAGGATCTTCAGGTGCTAGAGCGCCCGACTGGGGTGAGGTCTCTGCCCACACCCACGGGCTGGAGGACGGGTGCAGAATCTCAGTTTGCAGCTGTGATGTTGGCATCGAGGTTGAGCAAGGGTGTGGGCGTTGACATGAGACCCCGGCACTGTGGGGTGCCTAGGGGCCAGTGCCAGGTGGCATGGTGGGGCACAAGGGCAGGGGCGTCAGAGGTGCTAGAGGAATGGGCTCCCTCAGACCCCTGGGGGCGGAGCTGGGCCTGCCTACCACCAGAACCTCAGGCAGGCCAGGGCAGCTGTCCATCTCTAAGACCTCAAGGGTCCCGGGGCTGGGGATTCAGCTCAGCGGCACAGCACCTGCCTGGCAAGTGCAAGGTCGTGAGTTCGATTCCTGGTACCATAAGAAAAAAAAAAAAAAAGACCTCAAGGGTTGGGAAAAGACCCTCTCTAAGACCTGCAGGCGCAATATGACAGTGGCCAGCGAGGACTCACCTCTGGGTTCACCATCTGGGAGTCCTGAGGGGCTGAGATTCCCCTGTGAGGACCTGGTCTCTCTCTGCACCCCTAGTGCTGTTTACTCCCGGTCACTTGATTACAAACAAAATGGGGCAAAAGGACTCCCTGTCCCCCATCAGCGGCCAGGCCCTCACCCCTGCCCCGGCAGGGATTCTACCCCTCCCCTGCTAGCTCGTGGCCCTGGCTGTCTTCCCTCCACCACCCCTCGTGCAGAAACATGCATCAGCCCGGGGACAGGCTGTGCAGAAGCACGGCCACCACCCCTCTATCACCCCCTTCACAGCTGTGTGCTGGTCCTGCGCGCAGGGGGACTGAAGGAGGGTGGGGGACCTTATCCCCCTCACCTTGGAGCAGCATGGCGTTGAGGACGGACAGGAGGCTCGCAGAGGAGGCCACAGCCCTGGGGAGTGGGGCCAGAGGCCCCCTCAGCGGGGTAGTGTCTGCTGGCCAGAAGGAAAACTACGAGTGAGGTGCAGTGACACCTACAGCGGGGCGCAGTGGTGCACTCCTGCATTCCCAGCTACTCTGGAGCATCCCAGGAGCCAACCTGGGCAGCAGAGTGAGACCTCGCTTAAAACACCAAGCCAAACCCAAAACAGCACCTCTGGCTGGTCTCTCCTCTGTATTTTGAAAATGCGGAATCCCTGGGCCCAGGACCCTTGAAGGTGCTTTAGAACTCCTCGGGGAGCCTCTCGAGTCGGTGCGCCGGGTGGCAGGGCCGGGCCGCCTGACCTCGCCGTGAGTGGGTCCGCGGGACGAGAAGACCTGGGGTGCGTGGGGAGCATTGGCGGAGCGAACGGCGAGCTGGGAGCAGTCGGGATGCGCCCTGAGGCCCAGCCCGCCCCCGCGCCGTGCACCACCTCACTCCCCTGCCTTGCAGTTCGGCCTACGACGCGCGGCTGCGGCAGAAGGTGGCGGTGAAGAAGCTGTCTCGCCCCTTCCAGTCGCTGATCCACGCACGGAGGACGTACCGCGAGCTGAGGCTGCTCAAGCACCTGAAGCACGAGAATGTGAGGGCCTGGCCCGTGGGACCTCAGGGCGGGACCCAAGGTTGAGTTGGGGGGCCCGCCCAAGATGGACCAATGGGGAACGAGTCGATGGAGGGCGTGCCCGAGAGGGACCAATAGGTGTGTCTCTCCAACTGAGGTACAGGGCGGAGCCAGTGCCGTGGGGCGGAGCCAACGGAGACACGCCCATGACCGAGCCCGCCGTGGGCGGGGCCTGGGTGCTGAATCCTGGTTGAATCTCCACCTGTGCAGGTTATTGGGCTCCTGGATGTCTTCACACCGGCCACGTGCATCGAGGACTTCAGCGAAGTGTGAGCAGGCTCAGCATGCGGCTGCAACTCGGGCAGCCTGTTCAAGGAGGGCAGTCCCGCCTTGACCTGACTCCTGACCCCGCTGCAGGTACTTAGTGACCACCCTGATGGGCGCCGACTTGAACAATATCGTGAAGTGCCAGACTCTGAGCGACGAGCACGTCCAGTTCCTCGTGTACCAGCTGCTTCGTGGGCTGAAGGTGAGGGCGCGGACTCGGGGCTGGGCGCTGGCATTGGCGGGCCAGGCTCATCGCAGCCTTCCTTCCTGCAGTACATCCACTCTGCCGGGATCATCCACCGGGTAGGTGCCACCGTGGGTGCGGGTCCCTGCGGCCTCTGCCTGCACTCATGCCCCGCCCACCCCGCAGGACCTGAAGCCCAGCAACGTGGCGGTGAATGAGGACTGCGAGCTCAGGGTGAGGGGGGCTTGGGCTGGGGGGCGGCGGGGGCACCTGCAGGGTTTGAGGCCTGTGGTCCCCCCAGATCCTGGACTTTGGGCTGGCACGCCAGGCAGACGAGGAGATGACCGGATATGTGGCCACACGCTGGTACCGGGCACCTGAGATCATGCTGAACTGGATGCATTACAACCAGACAGGTGCAGTCCACCCTCAGCTGGGCACCCCTGCAGGCTGGGGGACACGGTGGGGGGGTGAGCCCAAGGCCCGAGGATCCTGGGGGGCATGCCCAGTCTCGGGGCACAGGCAAGGTCCCCAGCTTTCAGAGGAGCCTGTAACATGGTGGGTGGGAGTGTCTTTTATGCCTGAGGCCTGAGCCCACGTCTCCTTCTGCTCCAGGCTGGGTGCAGGAGGAAGGGCTCTTCTATCATGGGCCTGTGTGTGACTGAGGGTTGCGGGGCTGACTCCTCCCAGCTCCAAGGAGGGACTGAGGGTGGGCAGACTGACACAGCCCTCCCACCTTTCCTCGCAGTGGACATCTGGTCTGTGGGCTGCATCATGGCTGAACTGCTGCAGGGAAAGGCTCTCTTCCCCGGAACTGACTGTATCCTTGGCCCAGGCTGGGGAGCGGGGCAAGCTGGAGTCTCTTTCTAGAATGGGGGTGGGCTCTGGCCCATTCTTCTGTCCCCTACTATGCTGCCCTAAGTTCCTTGCTCTCTCTGCGGTGCCCCACGCCCCGGGGGCTGGGGGCTGGTGAAGGTCCATGGCTGGTCAGCAGGTGTTTCCTGAGCCAGGTAGACATTGACCAGCTGAAGCGCATCATGGAGGTGGTAGGGACACCTAGCCCTGAGGTTCTGGCAAAGATTTCCTCGGAGCACGTAAGTCCACATCCACCCAGCCACCAGCTCCCTGTGCTGACCAGGCAGGGACTGTGGGGCATGGAGATGGGCAGGCACCATAGGGGGAACATGGGCAGTGTGGGGTAGGCCCAGGCTAGGCACCCAACCCTTTCATGGGTACAGGTGAATGGGGAGAATATTAGAGGTATGAGGGTCAGTGAGGACAAAATCACAGCACCAGCGATGTTCTAGCTGTGGGCAGCAGAGTGGGTGGGGCAGGGAGCACTCTGGCCCCTGCTCCTACAGGCCTGTAGGGCCCAATGAGGAGCCGAGCCACCAGATCCTGGGAGGAGGTCTCTGGTCTGCCTGGCTCCTGCCCAGCCTGTTGGAGTGAATGAATCAGGGCTCTGAGGTAGGCGCCAAGCAGTGCCCCCCAGGCCCTTCTTATGTACCCCCAGGCCCGGACATACATCCAGTCCCTGCCCCCCATGCCCCAGAAGGATCTCAGCAGCATCTTCCATGGAGCCAACCCCCTGGGTGAGGACTGGCCCTGGGGCTAGGCTGGGTTCCACCTCTGGCCGGAGATGTGGAGCTGACCCTTCCCATTGGCCCCCTGCAGCTGTAGACCTGCTTGGGAGAATGTTGGTGCTGGACAGTGACCAGAGGGTCAGTGCTGCCGAGGCCCTGGCCCATGCGTACTTCAGCCAGTACCATGACCCAGATGACGAGCCGGAAGCTGAGCCCTATGATGAAAGCGTTGAGACCAAGGACCGAACGCTGGAAGAATGGAAGGGTGGGCACAGGGCAGCCATGGAGAGGAGGGCCGTGCCTAGGGCTGAGGGCTGTTTCTGCTGCAGCGGGGTTTTGCCTGTTTCTTCAGGAGATCCCCTGCTACTCCCAGCATGGTCAGGAGGTGGGAGGCAGCCCAGGACAGGCCCTGGCTTTCTGCTGGGTGGAGGCTGCTCCCAGGGGGAGGGGCTGGGGTGGCACAAGCTCACCTTTTCCTTCACTCCCAGAGCTCACCTACCAGGAAGTCCTCAGCTTCAAGACCCCAGAGCCTCCGCAGCTGCCCGGCAGCCTGGAGATCGAGCAATGAGACACTACACAGGGCCACACTCCAGCCTGGGGGACCTGAGCTGCCCCTTCCTCCTAGCCTGGGAGCTCTTTCTGAGGGGACTCTACCTACGTGTGTGCACAAGCGTGTGCCTACCGTGTGTAACAGTCTGAGCAGAAGATTCCCTGGGCCTCCTTGGTCCTCCCACCCAGCAACGAGGCTCTCTCCATGAGACCTCACAGTGGGGGAACCTGGATGCCCAAGAAAGAGGCCTCCCTGGGCCCGTGTCTTGTCCATATCTCTGCCTCAGAGGTTACCTGGGGTGGAGGGAGTCCAAATGGACCAGAACGCTCAAGTGTCAAAGGGAAGGTAGTGGTTAGAGCTGCTCAGGTTGGAAATGGGGGAGGGGAGGGGTTACCCTAGAAAGTACCAAGACCTGCCACAGGTCAGCCCACACAGGGCCTGTGCCCCACCAGGCTGGGCAAGAACCCTCTGACGGTGGCAGGGCAGGAACCACCACCAGATGTCCAATCAGAACAGCTGCCTATAGCCTTGTGTTTGCCTGTGGTGCGCACGGGCACGTGTGCACTTCTGGCGTTCATGTGCTGGGGCATACACAGGCTTGTGTGAATCTGTGGGAGTCCAGGGGCCAGTCTGGCAGGAGGCTTGAGCTGGCGTGGTTTCACTTTTGCCTCCACTACCCCCAGCTCCTGTTGCCCAAGGGATGCTGAGTCTAGCTCTGCTGTACACCAATCTAGAGCTCAGGGCTCCTGGGGCATCTGCATGAGAAGCGCCCAGGCTTCCTCCTTGGCCACAGGAGCTATGGCAGCTTCTGAAGCCTGAGGACACAATGCCGGCTGGGGGCTGGAGGAGCAGGGGGCCCAACCTCGAGGATGCTAAGGCAGGCAGAGCATGTGGATGTGGACCTGGACACTCCTCCGGGACCTTGGCCAAGACCGGACAAACCCCTGACTGCTTGCTACCTCTGATTACTGTTGTGGCCCTACAGCCAGAGATCTGGGGTGCTCTGGTATGTGGGCCAGCCCTTGTCTTCCCTTCTCCCAGAAAGATGCTGACCAAGTGATCTCGGGGACAGGACCCTGCTTGGAGACATGTTGGGGGAGTGGCTCCTCTCTGGAGAGGGGGTGACCTCTTGCCTCCAGGGACCCGGGGAGGGCCAGATGTCAAGTGCCTGCACCAGGGGTGCACAATAAAGGGGGTTCCCTCTTGCTCAGTCTGTGTCCCAGGTTCCAGACTGCACCCTCACGGTCCCCGCTGCTTGGAGGCAGTAGATGGCCAGATCTCCACACCACATCTTCAGTTGGTCTGGCTCCCTGAGACCCACACACTGGCTGGGCTCCAAGGTCCTCTAGTGAGACCAGCAGCCATTTCTGGCACCCTTGCTGCTCCCTGGGCCCGAGAGGCCAGGGGAGGTTGAGGACAGTGAGCTCTGAGGGGAACTGGGTATGATGGCCATTCACGGGCCACACCTGCCCTGCCTGTTTGGGGGACACGGGCTCCTAGCCTAAGTGCAGTCCTCCCCTCCCTCAGTGCTCAGGGTACCTGGCTGGTGATGCCTGTGGGCATAAGACCTACCCTGCCCCAGCGGCTGGACAGAGTATCAGAAATAGCTGCTTTTTCCTTCCGGTTTAAGAACAAAGGGATTCAAGGATTGCTGCTGCATCTGCACCTTATGGGTGGGCACAGCCTGCGTGTGCCCTTGCCCTGTGTCTTGGATCTTCAGAGGCCTGGACAGTGTGGTTGGGCTGGTCCTGGGGGCAGCCCTGAGGCCCAGGCTGGGCCAGGTCGTGGGTTCAGACATGGATGGTAGAGTGGAACTGGGGTCCCGGCCCCACCTTGGGAGCCTGGTCTGACACCGGCTCATGGGCCTTCCACAGAGAGTAGGACCACCTGAGGCTACCTGGAGGGGTGTGGTGCAGGGCACAGGGCACAGATGTCTGTGGTCTGAGTGGCCCCAGGCTGCCTCTGCTGGCTGTCGGAGGCAGCTCTTGAATGTGCCAGTCACCGGCCACAGCCCGGGTGCAAAGCTGTCCTGGCCCAGGTTGGCCGCTGAGCTGCTGACTCACGGCAGGCGGGCGGGGTAGGGGCTCCCGGGATCCTGTTACCACCAGCCCAGTGGGTTCTTTGGGTGCACCCCATGTGCCCCGCAGACCGGGATCCGGCAGACAGCTTCAAGAGTGGGCTTTGAAGGATAGTCTGGGCAGGGATGGGACAAATGGGGCCCCAAATGCTTGGAGGAGGTACCCCACATACCAGAGAGGGAGAGAGAAGTGGGTGTAAAAGGGCCCAGGGGGACCTACAGTACCAGCCTTCTGCTCCTGGGGGCTGCGGGGCAGGGGCCTCAGGGATGGGGTTGAGGATGTACCCTGAGTACAGGAGAAGGCAAACCTCTTCTTCCTATGGAAGTGGGAGACCCCACAATGGACACAGACCAACCAGCCCCCAAGCGGGGGCGTCCTTGCAGGTGGAGTGGCAGCTAACTTCGGGAACACAGGTCAGGGGGTGGGGGCTGAGCAGGTGGTAGTGACAGCAGGATGGGGGTGAAAGCCAACGGGTTCAGGCTGTCTAGGCTGGGGCCAGTGCCCCTCGGAGGGGTACAGTAAGAACCTGAGCCCCTGTTCGCACCCAGGGCGGAGGGCGGGGCGGGGCGGCGCGCCCTCCGTCACCCGCCCGCACGCAGGCC